CACGATGTAGACCAGGATCTGGACCGAGATCTGGACTGACCTGGACCCAGAGAGAGACCAGGACTGAACCAGGACTAAAGACCAGGACTAAACCAGGACTAAACCCGACTAAAACAGGCTAAACCAGGACTAAACCAGGGACTAAACCAGGACTAAACCAGGACCAGGACCTAAAACCTTGGGACTAACCACCAGGACTAAACCTGGATCAAAACAGGACTAAACAGGACTAAACCAGGTTAAAAACAGGACTGAAAGGATCTAAACCAGGTCTAAACCAGGTCTAAACCAGGTCTAAACCAGGTCTACTAAACCAGGACTAAACCTAAAAACCAGGACTAAACCAGGACTATAAACCAGGTCTAAACCAGGACTAAACCAGAAACCAGATAAACCAGGACTAAAACAGGACTAAACCAGGACTACTAAACCAGGACTAAAACAGGACTAAACCAGAACTAACCAGGTCTAAACCAGGACTAAACCAGGTCTAAACCAGGACTTAAACCAGGACTAAAACCAGGTAAACAGGACTAAAACCAGACTAAACCAGGACTACCAGGACTAAACCAGGTCTAAACCAGGACTAAACCAGAACTAAACCAGTAAACCAGGACTAAACCAGGTCTAAACCAGGACTAAACCAGGACTAAACCAGACTAAACCAGGTCTAAACCAGACTAAAACTAAACTGGTCTAAACTAAACCAGGACTAAACCAGGACTAAACCAGGACTAAACAGGGACTAGGACTAAACCAGAACTAAACCAGAACCAGGACTAAACCAGGACTAAACCAGGACTAAAACCAAGGACTAAACCAGGACTAAACAGGACTAAACCAGAGGACTAAACCAGGACTAAACCAGGACTAAACCAGGACTAAACCAGAACTAACCAGGACTAAACCAGAACTAAACAGGACTAAAACCAGGACTAAACCAGGACTAAAAGGAACTAAACCAGGACTAAACCAGGACTAAAACCAGGACTAAAACCAGGACTAAACCAGGACTAAACCAGGACTAAACAGACTAAACAGAACAAAACAGAACTGACCAGGACTAAACCAGAACTAAACCAGAACTAAACCAGGACTAAACCAGGACTAAACCAGGACTAAACCAGGACTAAAACAGGACTAAACAGACTAAAACCAGGACTAAACCAGACTAAACCAGGAAAACTAAACCAGAGAACTAAACCAGGACTAACCAAGAACTAAACCAGGACTAAACCAGGACTAAACCAAGACTAAACCAGGACTAAACCAGGAACTAAAACAGGACTAAACAGGACTAAACAGACTAAACCAGGACTAAACCAGGACTAAACCAGGACTAAAACCAGAACTAACCAGGACTAAACCAGGACTAAAACAGGACTAAAACAGACTAAACCAGGACTAAACCAGAACTAAACCAGGGACTAAACCAGAACTAAAAACCAGGACTAAACCAGGACTAAACCAGGAACTAAACCAGGACTAAACCAGAACTAAAACAGGGACTAAACCAGGACTAAACCAGGACTAAACCAGAACTAAAACAGGACTAAAACCAGACTAAAACAGGACTAAACCAGGACTGAACCAGGACTAAACCAGGACTAAACCAGAACTATACCAGGACTAAACCAGGACTAAACCAGACTAAAGGACTAAAACCAGGACTAAACCAGGACTAAACCAGACTAAACCAGAACTAAACCAGGACTAAACCAGAACTAAAACAGGACTAAAACAAGACTAAACCAGGACTAAACCAGAACTAAACCAGAACTAAACCAGAACTAAACAGACTAAACAGAGGAAAACCAGGGACTAAACCAACAGGACTAAACCAGAACTAAACCAGAACTAAACCAGGACTAAACCAGGACTAAACCAGGACTAAACTAAACCAGAACTAAACCAGGACTAAACAAGGAAACAAACCAACAGGACTAAAACCAGGACTAAACCAGACCCAAACCAGAACCAGGACTGAACCAGGACTAAACAGGAAAACCAGACTAACCAGGACTAAACCAGAAAAAAAACTAAACCAGGACTAAACTAAAAACAGGACTAACCAGGACTAAACAGAACAAACCAGAACTAAACCAGAAAACTAAACCAGGACTAAACCAGGACTACCAGGACTAAACCAGGACTAAACCAGGACTAAACCAGAACTAACCAGGAAACCAGGACTAAAAGGACAAAACCAGAACCTAAAACAGGACTAAACAGACTAACCACAGAACTAAACAGGACTAAACCAGACTAAACAGAACTAAACCAGGACTAAACCAGAACTAAACCAGACTAAACCAGAGACTAAACCAGGACTAAACCAGTCTAAACCAGAACTAAACCAGAAAACCAGAACTAAAACAGGACTAAACCAGGACTAAACAGGAACTTAACAGGACTAAACCAGACTAAACAGGACTAAACCAGGACTAAACCAGAATAAACAGGACTAACAGGACTAAACCAGAACTAAACCAGAACTAAACCAGGAAACTAAACCAGGACTAACCAGGACTAAACCAGGTAAAAACCAGGACTAAAACGAACTAAACAGGACTAAACCAGACTAAACAGGACTAAACCAGAACTAAACCAGAACTAAACAGGACTAAACCAGGACTAAACCAGGACTAACCAGACTAAACTAGGACTAAACCAGGACTAAACCAGGACTAAACCAGGACTAAAACAGAACTAAAACAGGACTAAACCAGGACTAAACCAGGACTAAACCAGGACTAAACCAGACAAACAGAACTAAACCAGGACTAAACAGACTAAACCAGGACTAAACCAGGACTAAACAGGACTAAACCAGAACTAAACCAGGACTAAACCAGAAAACCAGGACTAAAACAGACTAAACCAACTAAACCAGGACTAAACCACAGGACTAAAACCAGGACTAAACAGAATAAACCAGAACTACCAGACTAAACCAGGACTAAAACCAGGACTAAACCAGAACTAAACCAGGAAAACAGAAACTAAACCAGGACTAAACCAGGACTAAACCAGGACTAAAACCAGAACTAAACCAGAACTAACCAGGACTAAACAGACTAAACAGCGACTAAACCAGGACTAAGAACCAGGACTAACCAGACTAAACATTAAACAGAACTGAACCAGGACTAAACCAACAAACCCAGAACTAAACCAGGACTAAACCCAGGACTAAACCAGGACCAAACTTAAAACCAGAACTAAAACCAGGACTAAACCAGAACTAACCAGAACTAAACCAGACTAAACCAGACTAAACCAGAACTAAACCAGGACTAAACCAGGACTAAACCAGACTAAAAGAACTAAACCAGACTACCAGAACTAAACCAGAACTAAACCAGAACTAAACCAGAACTAAACCAGGACTAAAACCAGGACTAAACCAGACTAAACCAGGACTAAACCAGAACTAAACCAGAACTAAACCAGGGACTAAACCAGAAAAACTAAACCAGGACTAAACCAGGTCTAACCAGGACTAAACCAGACTACTAAACCAGGACTAAACCAGGACTAAACCAGAAACCAGAAACTAAACCAGACTAAACTAAAACCAGGACTAAACCAGAACTAAACCAGGACTAAACCAGGAACTAAACCAGACTAAACCAGAACTAAACCAGGACTAAACCAGAACTAAACCAGGACTAAACCAGAAAACCAGAACTAAACCAGGACTAAAACAGGACTAAACAGGACTAAACCAGGACTAAACCAGGACTAAACCAGAACTAAACCAGAACTAAAACCAGGACTAAACAACTAAAACTAAACCAGGACTAAACTAAACCAGAACCAAACCAGAACTAAAACCAGGACTAAACAGATAAACAGACTAAACAGACTAAACCAGAAACTAAACCAGACTAAAGGACTAAAGCAGGACTAAACCAGACTAAACCAGGACTAAACCAGGACTAAACCAGGACTAAACCAGAACTAAACCAGGACTAAAGCAGGACTAAACCAGACTAAACCAGACCTAAACCAGGACTAAACCAGACTAAACCAGAACTAAACCAGGACTAAACCAGGACTAAACCAGGTCTAAACCAGGTCTAAACCAGGACTAAACCAGGTCTAAACCAGGTCTAAACCAGGACTAAACCAGGTCTAAACCAGGTCTAAACCAGGACTAAACCAGGTCTAAAACAGGTCTAAACCAGGACTAAACCAGGTCTAAACCAGGACTAAACCAGGACTAAACCAGGTCTAAACCAGGACTAAAGCAGGTTTGGAGGTGTTTTTAAATTAGATGTAGAAATGATTCCGGAGACAAACCCACACACTCTGACCTTTGTCTGTAACACCAGAGTGACACACACACACACACCACACACACACACACACACACACACACGCACACGCACAACTGTGTGAAAGAGAAAGTGAGTGAGGCACACACAACTGATACATATATATATATATATATATATATATACACATATATATACACACACACACACACATATTTCAGCTTGATTCAGTTGTGCAGAATATTAATATTTGTGAATAAATCAGTAAATGTTTTTGTTGTGTTGATCGGCTCAGACAAGAACAGTTCATGTTTTTATTTTCTGACTCATGAAAAACTGAAGCTGACAAACAAAAAATTTCATTTATTCAGTCAAATTTAGTCGTGTTTTTTGTGGAAAAGTGTGAGTTCAGCATCGACGTTTCTTTTTTCAGCGTGAGCACATTTTTAACTCGTCTGATCTGTGAGCTTTGACCAAGATTCATGATTCATGAATGACATCATTTTGTACGTGAATAAAAAAAACACGTCTAAAATAAAATAAAGCAGCTTCAGCTATTTCAGTAAAAGTACTTAAAGACCTTTCACACACTCCGACACACAGAGGACCTTTCACACACTCCGACACACAGAGGACCTTTCACACACTCCGACACACAGAGGACCTTTCACACACTCCGACACACAGAGGACCTTTCACACACTCCGACACACAGAGGACCTTTCACACACTCCGACACACAGAGGACCTTTCACACACTCCGACACACAGAGGACCTTTCACA